TTCAACAGTAATTACGCCACTAACGAGAAAGATTACAATACCAGATTAAAAGACTAAAAGAACCCCATTACCAAGACAAAAAAGGTCAAAGAAATGAGTAGTCCCATTTCCCCAAACATCTTAAAACCCTAATCATCCAACACAACAAAAGAATTAACACATAATTCTTCCTTAGATCATAATAAAACCCTAACCAAACAACTCAACCAAAGGAGATAATAAACAACTAAGAATTTCGTTAATCGAATAACTCAGTTAAGTTCTGATCATACTCAAAAAGATAGAGAGTAGAAAAATACCACTGCGCTTAATTGCATCACTAGCATCGAAGCCGGATTTGTGGTGAGAAGGAAGTATCCAGAAAATCCCAGAAACCAGAAGCGCCAGAGTGAGGAGCGATATGAGGCCAGCCTTCAACCTGGAAGAGAGGGAAATTCTCAATAACAGCGATAAACATGTGGTGTAGCTGAAGCAGGTTGGATTGCAGGAGTTCTGGTGTTGGTGATGGTGATGGTCCTGTTGAAGCTTCCCCATTGAAAGAACATCCAGTAGAGTAGGCCGTCAGTGTAGAAGTCGGTGAAGTTCTCCGTATCTAAAACTCACTTCATTCACCTTCTGTGCAAATTAAACAAGAAAACAAAATGCAAAAAAAGGAAAATGAAGATTGAGAGACAAGTGTTCATGGCTGTCATATGCGCCTTTTCCGCTCTTTCTATATTTACTATACAATACATTCCATGTACTCCCGTCCCATTTAAAAATAATAATATTTATTATTTATTATTTATTATTTATAAATAATAAAAAAGGCAAAATAGATGGTAATGGGGGGGTGGGGGGGGGGGTAACTGAGAAGTCAAAATTTGCTGACTTTCCATTGGCTGCCGAACGTTGAGGAGAAGCAAAGGTGAAAAAGGAAGTGCGTTTAGATAAGTCTCCAAAAAATTAATTAGATTAATTAAGAGTTTCTTTTCCTTAATTAATAATATCATAAGTGATTAATTAGTTTACAACTTGAATAATAAATTATGTTTTTCATAATGTAATTAATGATTTTTTATTATTTATTTTTTTAAAATTTTAAATTAGGTCATGAGAATTTGTTGAAGGAAATGAATTATTAAAAGGAATTCCAGAAGAAAAAAATCAAATGAAATGAATTAAGAAGATTATTAAACAAGATTTTAGTTTTACTTTTTACTAATCAACAACATGGTACTTTTTAGGGAGGATAAGATAAGTTTACTTTCGGCTTTTAATTATAAAAAGGATAATGCTTAATTAAATATGCCAACTTCCATATAATGTACAATTTATCACACGTACATGTGTGTGTGTGTGCGTGTGTATATATATATATATGTATGTATTATATGAAATTACTTGGTGACTGTCAAAGAGGGCAATCGTCCCGATTAATTATTGAGATCTTGTGTCACACACTTTTTATTTATGTGAAACTTGTAAAAAAATAAATAAATAAATCATGTTTTTAATTATTTTAGGAACATTAAATTAGTCGAACGTAGAGATTAAGAAGAAAATAAGATACTAAAGTTCAAATGATGGTGAAGAAAATGATTATTCTCCGTAATTGTATTATTCTTAAATAATAATAAATCTCCAATATTTATATATTTTAATAATAGATTATAAATTTTGTAAATAAAATAAAATTATCTTAAAGTAACTGTCACACGAATAAAAATATTTTAAGAGAGTGAAGTATAATGACGGATAAAAAAGAATTTTAATATTAAAAAATTAGAAACAAATTTTAATATTATCGTAAAAAGTATTACTATATTTACTCCGATTTACTTACATTGTTATACGTCAATGCTAATAGAATTTGAGTAAATACTCATTATAAATTTGTTATATATCCTCCTATTTCAAATATGACAGAGGCTTCATCTTCAAGCTTTCTTTATCCTCCTCTTCATTGTGCATCACTATAAACTTTTATATATCCTCTTTATTTTAATATAAAAGAGACCTCAAATATCTCATTATAAAATACTCTTCTCTTTTATTCCTCTAGTTGATGAGTAAGAGTTCATATATCTTTCGCCACCATTATTTAGACAAACAGGAAATTAAGTGCTTGAAGTGGCCTCATTGTTTCTCATTTGATTCTCCCTCAACCCAATGCCAAAGACAAGATGCTCAAAGCTTATTCCTTCTCACAATCCAAGATTTCATGGAGCCCTGTCTTATCATAAATTGAAGATACATTGAATTATTGTGAAACTATTACTTTGATCCTGAAATTAAAGAGAGCCCTTATCTATCGTGATATATTTTATTATTTTTGTATATAATTATTTTAATAAAATTAATAGATATAATTAAGAAATTCAATTTGATTATCTTTTATTACATAAGATTTTTTTTTATATCAAATAGAGTACATTATCTTTAAAAATGAGTTTTATCATATAAAATATTTTTTAAAATCTTTAGGTATTTTAAAAGTAAAAAAACTCTTAATTAATCACATAAATTGAGTGAGATGAATTAGATAAAGAAAGGTCAAACAAATCCTTAAGCAATCTTCTCTAAAAAGAAAATGACGTTTTTTTTTTAGAGTTAAATCATTATATCATCTTACCGTTATTAAATTATTTTCAAAATAAATAAAATATTGAATAGTTTAAAAAAAACACATAAAGTCGTTGATCATATTTCAAAAATCAGTCTTCTATGTATTCAATTTGATTTTCATAATTGAAAAAATTAAAAACTTTTGATGATTACTTAAATTCATTTATCCACAGTTTTTTCATATATTATATATTATTAAAAGATCTTAAATATATATTTTTTACTAAAAAAATTTAATTATTAAATTAAGTACTAGCATTCTCATTCACTCAAACTACTTAAATATTTTTTTTTAATGCTTCAGTTACTAAATTACAAAATTAAATAAAGTGCAACATACATAAACTCCTCCATAAGGTGAAAATAATAAACATAAAAAGCCATTTTATTATTTATATATTGTCTATCGTCAATATTTAAAAATTATAATCTATTAAATTTTGCATTTATAATGTTTTTTCTTAAAAATTTATTATTAATTTTATCGTGAGATTCATAATAACTTTTTTATTGTGTTACTTATAAACTTTTTATTATATACGTACGATTTATATATTACCACCATCAATATTTAAACATTATGATCTGATAAATTTTGTATTTATAATATTATTTTTTCTTAAAAGTTAGTATTAATTTTATTGTGAGCTACATAACAACTTTTCTATTTTGTTAACAATTTTTTTTATTATGTATGTAGGATTTATATATTCACATTATCAATATTTAAACATTACGATATGTTATATTTTGTATTTATTATGTTTTTTTCTTAAAAGTTTAGTATTTAGTTTTGTCGCGAGCTTCGTAACAACTTTTCTATTATATTATTTCGAAACTTTTTATTATGTACATACCATTTATATACTCACATCATCAATATTTAAACATTACAATCCGTTAGATTTTGTATTTATTATGTTTTTTCTTAAATATTTAATTTTTAATTTTGTCGTGAGTTTTATAACAACTTTTATATTATTTTACTTAAAAACTTTTTATTACGTACGTATTATTTAAACATTATAAACTATTAGATTTTATATTTATTATTATTATTTTTTTTAAAAAGATTAATATTAATTTTGTCATGAACTTTATAATAAACTTTTATAGTATGTTATTTATAAACTTTTTAATTTTATTATTAATTATCAATGTAGATTTCATATAAATCAAACAACTTTATCTACATGGACTTCTTTGTATTGTAAATAATTAATTAAGCTAAAGCATAATTAATTTTCAATCTCTCTCTTGCATTTATGTGTCTATATATACCTATATGTATAACAAAGACAATAATTATTTAATTAATTATCTTAAAAATCTTCTCAAAAAATTCATCTAATTAATGAACCTAATAAGTTGAATTAAGAAATATTTGTAATTAAAAAAATCCTAATAATAACTTGTGTTGATAAATCAACTTTTTATATAATAATGTTAAGAACCACGAATTATTAGCTTAAAAAATATTAAAATCTTACATCCGCGTGCCTATAAATAAATTGATTTTTAGTATAATCTCAAAATCTCTAAAGAAAATTAAAATTTTAGTATGTAATATTGTAATGTTTGACTCGTATGATGAAGTAAAAATAATAAAACAAAACAGACATTAAATAATTTGTAGATAATGATAATTGATTTATATAGATATGGAGACTGGTCTAAATTCCTTATTAATTGAATGGATATAACTATATTAATTAATATGCACTCCCGTAGTCAAACCC